TTCTTCTCTCAAGAAGTCCCTTAGCCAAGCTCTCTGCTGGTTTTATATGTAGTGATGAAATCAATATCTGTAAATAATTGTAAATGAGAACACATGAAGGCTGAGGAGCTTCTTACTCTTCCATCCTGCCTTTCTTGTGAGCTGTCTCTAGCTCTGGTAACTAAGTTAACTAAGTCAATCCTCCTCCCTCTCTTCAGGGAAGAGCTGTGGGTCTCAGTGTTGATGGTAGTAGAATCTGTTCAGTAATTTCAGAGATTGTGTGTTCCATCTGAGGTATCTTGCAACTTCCAACATGTTTGATGAAGAGGACTTTGCAGTTGAAGGCTGTGAAAGATTACGTTCTTATGTGAGATGGAGCTTAAGGAGCAATTGGAACTCATTAACAAAAGCATTTGGACTTGGGTTCACATGCTCCGTTGAACCTTATTAAGCTTACTGAGGGGATCTGAGTAGGTACTTTAATTAACCATGTGAAGATTAGTTGCTTTGGTGGAAAAAGGGGGAAAGGTCTGAGGTGCTTGTTGCAGCAAGACGAGGCAAAATACTCATTATTTTACTTGCTTATCATCAGGCATCCGTTCAAACAGAGCCATAGCTAGAGAGTGTTACTTGAGCAAAATTCCTACTGACTTCAATAAAATGCACTGACACTGTAAGGACTTCATAATAAGATCTTTTGAGTATTAACAGATGGTCACCGACTGCCTGAAACAAAGTTGTTGGGTTTTTTTTTTGTTTTGCTTTGTTGATCACCGCAGGTATCTGGAAACTGAACAGACTTTGCCTTCTGGAAATCAAACCTGACTGTGAAACAAAGGTTTTTCACTCCCCTTTTTTATTTTCTTGCCTCAAATCCTTTAGAGAAATTATGAAAAACAGATACTGATTTGTGAAGTGCCTTATCAGAAGTCTTTGGTGTTTGGACCAGCTGGGTGCAGCGGGACTTGCCCGGCTCGCTGTGCTGCGGGCAGCCTGCAAAATGGGCCCTCACCGCTGCCTGTGCCAGCAGAGCCCCTGGCAGCCCGCTTGACCCATCCGCTTCAGTGCAGTTGTGCAGTGCCAGCAGTAAGTAGGCCGTGAAGGAAAGTGGTCTGTCTTTGTTGCTGCCGTGGACTGAATGAGGAGCGTATCTACTGTTGTGAAAACGTTCCTGTTAACAGTTTTTCTTTTGTGTATTTGTCAGTTTATATATTAGTTGCAGTTGTACTTTGCACAAACACTAATTAGACAGCCATCAACACTCAGGGCCAAAGGCTTACTAACAATGCAACTGTGATAGCAGTGTCTTAATTGGTTGAGTATAATTGTCATTAGGCAACGATAAAGACATCTGGGGCTCTGGAGGGAGATCAGCACCCCCTCCTCCTCTTCCCCAAATTTGTTCTGGCTATTGCTATCCAACACAGTTGAGCTTTTTCAGATGAGACCCTGTGTTTTGACCGGTTTCCTGATGTTTTTCTCCTTGTGAAATCGTCTGCCTCTTCAGCACCACTTCATTAGAGTGGTGCCCAGCCTCCAGCTTTGCCTCCTCCCACATGTGCTCAGCACTTCACCACCTGCTTCCCAGCCATCGTGGGGCAGCAGCAGCTTTTAGCCTCCGTCTCCTTCGCCTTCACTCTTCTGCTTTCACTCGTGTGAGAGGCTATGAGGAAGCTGTTCGTCTCATTATGACATTACTGCCAGTAAAAGTGGTTGAAATGCTTTTGATTAGCAAGCAGACATTTTTATTATACTATGTAGATACCATATGAATTTAATTTTTTCAATTCCTTTGTACCACGTGCAATCCAGCTATTGCTCCATTTCAGCAAGTTTATTTTATTCATCTGCAAAGCTTAACTTGAATTTGCAGGCTCACTTTTATGGTTGTGTAATTATCTGCCTAAGATAACAGTACTGGATTGCTGGGGAGAAGAAGAGAAAATAGCTAGAAAAATATAGCTCAGCCTCCTGCTGCTACTTCTCACATACATATTCTGAGATGCTTAGAAATGTGAGAACCACAGCAAAGTGAAATTCAGGTCTGTTGGAGAAGTTGAGTTACTTGCATGGGGAGTCTTGGGAAAAGCAGTAGCTCAGTGCTGTTGGGTAGTATAACAATGGATACGTGGTTTTATTTATATTAAGATAAGTGGGTTTTATTTGTGTTTTTTGTCTCCAGCAGCTTCTCATAGCTATTGCAGCAAAAAAATCAGTAACTCAGTGAGCTTGGAGTATTCTGATGTCCTGAAACAGAAGACTTAAATCTGGGAATCTTTCATTTGGTAGCTAGTAATCAGGGAAAATTTTCATGGCAAAAAAAAGATTGTTGTGGTAGGAAATGAATAGAAATACAGAAATTATGTAGGAGTAGTTTCTGTGCAATGCAGCAGCTTTCTTTTCCCTAGCCATCTATATTGATATGGCAGATTTGCCAATTATCTGCAATAAAGTAGCCTTTTTATTTTTTTACAGCAAGGCATTGCTTTAATAGTTTAAAAGCCTTTTGTTGTGGTTACAAATTGAAAGTGTGTTGCTCTTTACAACAGCATTAAAAGCAGGGAGTTGAACCATTAAATTTTTTAGTTCTGAATTGGATTCATCTGTATTTGAAACTCTTCCAGTTCAGTTCTGGTACAGGCCCAGTGGTGCTGGAAACAGGCATGTGGCAGTGCTGGCCAGCAGAGTGAGAGATAGTTTATGTCTCCCATTTCTCCATTTTGACTCCATGCCCAAACCTGGACCTCTTCTTGGGTTTCCAGCGTGATCTTGGAACATCTCTGCAAATCCATTAGGTTTGTCACACTGGACTGAGATGCTGTCATGCTGTGCTGGGAAGGACGTCAGTGAAATGGGGTGGGAGGGGTATGGAGGGAAGCTGCCTTACTGCCCTCCTCCCTGCTCTTCCTGATGGACCTGTGGCACTTGTGTCAGCTTGCACTGCACTTCTGGGATGCCTGGACAGCAACGTGCAAAGGCTGGTTCTCCTGGCACATGGGGCTCTCCATTCTGATGGACTCTGTAGGCCAGGTTGGTGGTTGGATTTGATGATCTTGAAAGTCTTCTCCAACCTAGATGGTTCTGTGATTCTCTGTCATCACAGATAAGAAATGGGTGCTGTTACTGCAGTCTCCTTACCTGTTACTCTGTAGTATCTGAGTAAACTCATTAGGGCATTCCTGAGGTACGCCTACAAAGCTCTTCTGTTAACAAGTCCTTGCTGAGGGTGGAAGAGCACAGCTTTGTGGTGCCAAAGTGAAAGCTCTTCATTGTGCATCTCTCAGTCACTGATGAGGGAGGGAGCGGGGCCTGCAACAGGTAGATGTGATTATCTGTCCTGAATACTTTCGTTATTGTGTGTTATCCCCAAAGCTTGAAATTTATCTGAAACAAAAGCTTTTCAGTGTTGCAGACTGAAGATATTTCATGTAGACAAACCTGGACTGCTTGTTTAGTCCAAAATTAAAGTTTTTGCTTTGCTTTGTGGAAGCTTCTTTCTTGAATTGTTATTTTCAAGTAGTGCTGCTGTAAATGGGGAAGAAAAGCAAGGTTTATAGGAGGACTGGGACCTTATCTGCAGAAGGAGGAGGATGGAGAAGTGCCGTCTCTCCCAGTTCTCTCATTTTCTTCTATTTAGTGGTGTGCAGCACTGGAAAAGAAGTTTTGTCACAAGGACTCGACTCTCTTCTGAGTTCAGTACAGAGAATTAATGTTTGCTTAGATTAGCTTTGCTCTTTGCTTAGCAGTTCTCTGCCACCTCCTCAGACACTCCAGTTTGTTGTATAAAGTGGTACACTTTTACCAGAGGTGCTGGAAGTGATGCTGTGCTCCGGAGTACCTGCAGTACCGGTGTATGGCACTGGGTCACCTGTCCAGCATCATCTGAACCTTTGTTAAGCGCCTCCCTTCGCCTCCTTTGTTAACACATACTTTCTTATTGTCATCATAAATATGGGTTGTTCCTGCCCTGTGCACCTCTGGGGCTAAGAATCGCTGTTGAAATGATTTTCCCCCCAAAAGCAGAATAGAACAAAGCTGGCAGAGCAGCAGCCTTCATTTCCAACAAATCTGTGTTTCAGGTGTGACAGAGAAACACAGCTGAGACTGACTGTTGTCATAGTTCTGTTGAAACTTAATAACTGTAGATCTGCTCCAAATTGACCATATTTTTGGTCAGACGTATGGAGAGTTACTTCTCAATCTTGCCTGAAAGATGCTGGACTGATTTTTTTTTTTTCAATTAATAGTACATTGTGGCGCAGCAGAGGTGACACAGAACAGTTCTTGTGTTGTTGTGTTACAGCCTTCCTCCCGTTACATGTATTCAGTGTCATTTGAGAAGCTGATTCCTACTTTTTTTTCTCCTTTGCAAACTGTAGTGTGTCTGGTGTTACCAAAACATCAGAAAAACTACAGTGTAAGAGAGTCTTCTGCGAGGAAGGAAGCACTGCTCTAATTCTAAAGACAACACTTAATCCTGTGAATAAATTAATTAGTCTTCAGAGATGTAGGCAACTCGGATGTGTTGATGAGGCATTAGGAAGCTTATTTCTCTACAGGGCGGCAGGTTGGATGGATGGATGTGTGTGAATGCTTGTACGTGTGTACATAAATACTCTGATTAAACAGCCTTTCTCTGGCACCACCACAACGTTTTAAAGACCAGAAGGAAACAGATTGAAGTTTTGCTGTGATGTAATTGACACTCATTGCTGATAAGTTTATTTTTCCTGGAGCCCTGCTCCTCTTGCATTTTATCTGTAAAGCTAGCCCCGATAGTTGGTAACCCATGGTAGCCCAGTGGTGTCCCCAAAGCCCCAGCTTGCCTGTGTTAGTGGACTTGCTGCTGCATTCAGTAAATGGGAATAAAATGAACAAAGTTGGTGGGATTTGGTGTGGGGAGAATCCGTCCAGGAACTGTGAACGGCATCGAGTTTTCAGACCTTCTCATTCTCGCTCTGTTCCCTTGCAGCTACCTCTTTTCAGATGTTTTTGGAACGAATAAAAGCTTTCTTTTCCAGATACACATCGGGGGAAGTGAGGTTGTGGGACACGCGCACCTGGGACTACACAGCCCCCATCCTGGAACCAGTGCAGGGTCCTGGTGATGTTGGACCTCAGCCACATGTCTCCTTTGTGAGGATAAACAGCTCTCTGGCTGTAGCAGCTTACGAGGATGGTAAGTAACCACAACTCTCCTCCCTATTTAGGGGAGGAAAAAAAAAAAAGCTTTATAAAAATGAAGCAGCTGTGCTCAGCTTTTTGTGTGCCCGTAATCCTGTATATACACACACGCACACTCTTGCTTTTATGTGAGAAAGTTGGCCAATAACCCTAAATGCATTAGGAGGCATTGGAACATAGCACCCATTAAAACTGATGTTTAATTCCTACTGGAACTGCTACACAAAGCTTGAGTGCCAGGCTGAAGTCCAGCCAAACTATCTTAAGCAAATAACTTGTTTTGCTATAAAAAATATTAAATATTCTTCCACTGCCATTCTCCTCTGTCCAAAACTCCCTGAGGGTACTGTGAGGCTTTGTAATGGGAATAGTGGTAAACTTGCATGTCTGATGAGGCTGCGTGCTCCCTTGTGCATCCGTGTGCTACACAGGGACGTAGCTGAAGTATTGGTTTGCATTATTGACTTTCATACTTTGATATAGAGAAATGAAAACTGTGCCCTAATATTTAATGAAACTAGTGAAATCCTGCTTTATACACATTGTTTTAAATGTGCTTAAATATAATGGCTGTCAAGAGCCAGGGACCAACTATGCATCTATTGGACATGGGAATAGCAATTAAAAAACCTGGGTTTGAACAGTGCTTGACACTTGGGGTCCTATAAGTTGAAGAACCCAGGCTGGACTCAGCTCCTGGCAGCTTTCTTTAGACTGTGTGATTTGGTGCTTAAACTTCTCCTCGAGTGTGAATAAAGAGGATTTTTTTGACTGTTTCTTTTTAAGTTAAGGAGTGCTGTATGTGTATCATCTCTGATCCTGGCACTTTGCGTGTGGAAGCAAAGCCAGAGATGGGTAATCCAAAACAAAATAGCTAATCCTTTTATTTTATAAGTAAATTATATGCTTTGTATCTGAAAGTAAGTGTTAAAAATGATGAACATTTTTAGTGGTTTTTCTAATCTGGATTGTGCTGTTTCCATTTTCCGTGGCTAAAAATTATTGATAGGCAACGTTTTATGACAACAGTGAGTCTGGTATTACAAAGCATGACTGTTATTTACTCAAGTCATAGGAAATTATAACAGTGATGGTTTTAACTGTTGACTTTTTTGTCCAGTGTGCCAAACAGTGAATATACCAGAGGCTCTTTTGTTTGCTTTCTAGTCTCCCACTGACTAATCTAATAATCTTTCCAGGTTTTTTTCCTGTCAGATTCCTTGTTGTCGGCCCTGTGTGTGCTGTGACTGCACTAGTTTGCATAAAGCTCAGCGTTGTATTCTTTTGGGTGGAAATTTTAATGGGCTCTGTGATATGGCAGTTACTCTGATTTGAGAATCCTGGTCAGAATAGATTAGTTTCTATGTGAACAGGGAATTATAAATACTGTTTTTAGAAATGTTTACCAACTCGAATCTGAAAGCACATATTTACAGATTGATGGAGAGAATTATTTTAAACTTGGGAGGAGGGGGCTGGGGGGGGGGGATGACTTTGAAGATAATGTGTTTGATTGTTCTTTGTTGTACTCTTCCAGCTCCCTTTTCTCTTTGTAAGTTTGACTAACGGAGAGAAACCATCTGCTAGTGTTGGAGGTAGTGCTGTCAGGCAGAGAGAGTCTAGACTTCTCTGTCGAATCCCTGGCTAGCAGACTTGTGCAGATAACATCAGTTTCTCCCAGTTCAACAGAGCTCACGCAGCGATGTCCTTGGCACCTGATCACAGGGAAGAGCTAACAGGCAGATCCTGCTCGCACCATGCCTGCCTCGCAGCACTGCTCTGCGCTTCTGCAGGAGAGAGCACTTCCCAAGGCATGTGAGGTGCAGCGAGGAAAGGCTGTCTTACCAGGATGCCTGCATCCGAAGTGAATTGCATCTCTGTGATGGCACTAAAGAAAAATTGAATTGTGGCTTTCGGTGAATGTTTCTGACAGTGTCGGCCTCTGTGGAACAAGCTGCAAGGAGAGGGGAAAGGAGGGGAAAAAAGTACAGGGAGAAAATGAAGTTCCTTCTGCTCGTGCCAGTGCTCAGTGGGGGTACTGCATGTACACCTGGGGCAGTGGGACTTGGCAACTCGATCCACAGTTGTGATTTTTGAATTCCAACCCACTGGCCTCATATTTCTTCTGCCTTGTTTCCTATTGTCAGCACTGGCAGCCCTCCAGTTTGATTTTACCACTAATTGTGTTGCACGTTACCGAACTGAAATGAATCAAATCAAAATGCTTTTCCTGGAGCATTAGATAAAGCAGGCGAGGGTTCTGGGTAATGAGCAGATGCTGCTAATGCAGGGACAGTCGGGGCCTTGCCAGGACTCCATCTGCTCCATGCTTGCCTGCCTTTGGCTGTGAGCCACAGCTTTGGGAAGCAGCGGTCTACTTTAGCCATCAGCCCTCCACCCTCCAGAGTCTCGTAGTTCGACTTGAAAACAATGTGCTGCAACAAGAAAAGTGGTTGGGTGGTGGCTTTCTTGGTTTTAAATGCAGTGCTACATACTCGTGTAGGCATGGCAGGGTGATGCAGCACTGCTCCTGTTCACAGCAGCTCTTTAAGACCTATGGGGAGAGTTGGTGGCACTTCTCAAGTCGCACAGCAGCACCTTGGGACAGAGAAGGGTGCCTTCTGCAAGGATTGGAAGTCAGCTCGCTTCTTGGCAGCCTTTAGGAGGGGAATTTTGGCAGTGCTTTCTGGGACAGGGAATCTGCTGTCTTGTCCATTCTGGTGCCCTTAGCACTGCTTGCAGGCATTGTCCCTTCCGTGCCCTGCTTGCAGATGCAGGAGTGGAGTGATGTGATGGGAGTCTTCCTCCAAGCACCATGGAGAGCTAGGCAAAAGCTACAGCAGGAGGCAGGCTGCCTCAAATTAAGGAAAGTTTTTGGGTTTGGGGGTTGTTTTTTTCTTTTGATTGAGGTTTCTTTGTTTGTTCTTTAAACAAAGCATATATCTATAGGTGTACATTTACATTTATTCCTGAGAGATGTGTACAGGTGTCCGTGGATTTGGCTCCATGGGGTGTGATTTCACCTCCAGGCCAGGGATGACTGCCTCCCAAGTCACGCAGCTGCTTTTGCAGGGTGCCGTTGTGCTCCCAGATATGAAGAGCCGTACTGGAGGCTGCCCCATTACTGAGGAATGACCCCAGCCCTCCTTTGTCACAGCAGGAGTGCATGCAGTGCTGCTGATGTTTGCTGGAATGGACTACAGTATGTCAGCAGTGCGTTGTGTGAGGTATAATAGAGCCATGGTTAAATGTGTTACCCAAATATCCTGCAGCATAGTCAGCTGCGATAACTGGACCTTTCCCCAGGCCACATTTCAGCAGTATATTGGGTGAGCTACAAGCCTACATCCTTTGTACAACCTGGGCTGAAGTGACAAATAGGAAGACCAGTAATGTCAAGTGTCTGCAATTGTACCATTTTCAGCAGCCTTTTGCAGTTAACTCATTTCCTGAGCCAAGACAAAGCTCTGCAAAGTCCAAATTCCAGGAGTTATTGTTGGAGTTCACTTAATATAAACACAGTTGCCATGCAGATTTCAGCCTGCTGTGAAATTATTACGTATAACTGATCTAATGGCTTTCAGTACTCAAAAAAAAAAGGAAGAAAAAAGAAAACACCCATGTGCTTGCAGCTTTAACTTCACCTTAGCAAAGATTTCTGCTTTGGAAATGAAGTACTAGAGAATGCTGGAGACAGGAAGATAGACTATGTAAAGCAGTGATCTCATCTGCACTGGTAAATCTTAAGCCTAATTTTTCCTGTGTTGCCATACTGATATCTTCAACTGTAATGGTGATATTTTTGTGCTATTGCACAAACGAGATTAACTGTTGCAAAGAGTTACATGCTAATAAATACATTTTGCTTTCTGTGCAATGAAAAGCAGAGTAGAGAATGCTGTTAAGTGGCGCTTCTAGAAGTAGTAGCAATTTTATCTCTTGATAAATACAGTGGAGTGTTTGCTTTTCCAGTTGTTGTTCATGTTGAAGTAGTGGTTCATCCCAATGAAATAAAGTGGTATTTCTCTTTGCATTCCATTTGCATTCTTTTCACTCCTTGTGTTGACTTGTGACCTTACAAGTCAGTTGCTTTTTGGTGGCGCTGAGGATATTTTCACACCATATTGTGCATCAGCTGCTGCAAACACCATATTGTGAAACTTTCAGGTGTTCTGGAAGAGATGACTGTCACACATTTGGTGAAAAGCTGCATACCTGCCTTGAACAGACTGCATTATTGCGCAGTGTGCTTGCTCTGTCCTCTCATTTGAGAGGCAGTGGCAGTGGATTTGCTGCCTGCTTTGGGGAGCAGACCCCTAAATGCCAGCTCTCCCTACAGCTCTGTGCATGCTGCGGGCCAGTGGTGTGTTGCTCAAAACCAGCTCAGTGGTTATTTACCTTTCAAGCAATTAACATAATTACCATTATGCTAAGAAGTAATTTTGGGAAGTTCTGCTCGCAGCCCTTACGACTCCATCGGGACAGTTTGAGTCGGGACTTATCTCTTTGATGGAAGCCTAATTGCAGTTTTGGCTTTGTGTGAACAAACAGAGGCAGCTAATTGTTTAGGCAAATAGCAGATTAATTTAAATATGCATCCCTAATAAAACAAAAATGGTCCCCATTATGGTGCACGTTCCCATGGCGAGGAATATAAATATTCAGTGGGAGTGCCATTAGATGGGGATCTTAAGGATTATCTGCATTATTTCACATTGGTAGCACTTTCCAGATACCAAATAATCTTTACAAAAGCAAACATAAATCAATTTAAACTCATTTAGATACCATTTTGCTCTGTGCAGTTTCATTACCACACTCTTGCTTCACCTCCTCTGGGACACGGGAGTGTTTGCAAACTGGCATTGGTGCCCGTCCGCAGCTGTCTGTCAGAGCTTTTATGTCTCCTTTTGAAGGAAGAGCTGTCATTAATCATTTCATCATTAATGGGCATACGTAGGAAGAAGGCTTCTCCTGCCCCGCTCCTCTTGTCATGTCTGAAGATTGCTTCTCTGTTAATTCAGTGCAAAGGTGGCCTGGGAGTCTCCAGTTCTGTCTGGCCCTTCTGCTCTGTGATACGCTCCTAATTGCTTCAGGTTGCTCTTATTCAGATTGCTGCTTTAATGTACCATGCTTTTAAATAGAGCATTGGTGATCTGTGCAAGGAAAATCTGCAATTGCAAATGCATTTTCTCTTGACTTGCACTCCTGTATTCTTTGAGGTTTGCATTCTTTGGCTTTCTGAAAGCTTTGAACTCTGTTTTCCAGAGTGTCACTGTTCAGAGTTTTGCTGCTGACTGTTAGGAATGGTGTTAATGTCTGTGGCCTGACTGCTGTGTGTCAGAGCTTCACGTTTTTCTTCCTCGCTGTGCTCGTGTTACTTCAGTGGAAGAAGAAGAATTTAGGAATCACAGCACCACAGGATCATGAAGGTTGGAAAAAACCTCAGAGATGATGAAGTCCAATCATCAGAGGTTTAGGTCCAGTCTTCTCCAAGTGTAGGAGAGAAGTCAAGCAGTCTTCCTCAAGGCAGATACCAGAGTTACCTGAAAACTAAGCTTGGGAATTGCAGAGAGCAGCGCAGCCTCGAGCGCCTGTACCCATCGTTTTGGAAAGTTCCTTCTGAACCTCTGTGCTGAAATTCTGGTCCCATGCTCTAGAGTCTCTTTCCCATATGCACGCATACTGCTTTTGTTAGAACATTTATAAGCTTGCATCTTCAGCTGATCTTACAAGATTTCCTTAAATTCTCACGTGTGTTTGCTTTGTGTTTGTGTGCAGGTACTGTGAGTGTTTGGAGCCTGATGGTGGGGCGCGAGCCAATCCATCGCTACCAGCATAACCAGAGGATACAGGCTTTAGCTCTGGGTTCCAAGGGTGCAACAGTAGCAACAGCATCTGGCTTAGAGGTCAAGGTGGAAAGCCCTGATGACAGGGGATTCTGGCAAACTACAGGAACATTCGAAATCCAGAAGTTGGTGAGTCTCCAGATTGCCCAGCTTCATTCCAGGAGCTCGTGATCTACTGATTATTTTTGGTATGGTTAAGAGGGATCTTTTAAAAATCTTACAGGAGTGTTGTGTGAGCTGGATAACGGCACTATCAGATAGAGGCAGTGATTCTGTAGCAGGTTAATGGATGAACCTTTCATTATTGAGGAGCAAGGGTGCAGTGCTGGCTTAAGCTACAAGTGAAAATGAACAGAAGTCCATATGGTGCAGGAGGTTGGCTGTTATCAATTATTTTTTTTTGTCAACATTAAGCTAAGTTGGCTCATCTTGTAAATCAGTTTTCTCGCATAGAGTTGGAGCTAAAACTCGAGGTCTCATTCCAGATGAATGCTATCTGATTAATTCTGAGGCAGGATATTGCAGACGAGCTAATAGTATCACTTGTGAAGCTGTAACTAGTTGTGCAGCTCCTTCAGGTTGCACCTTCTGTCACTGAACTTTTGTGGCTGTTTTAATTAAAAACCAAGAGCGATCCCGTTCTCTGAAGTTTTATGATGGCTCAGTGTGTCAACCCTTTTTGAAATGGGGAAGGAATTGTGTAAGAAAAAAATGGAGCCTTGCAACTTTTCTTTTGCAGGAAATCAGCTGCGCAGCTGATGGGTATGAAGTCAACTTAAACCATTCCTGATTCATCCCCTCTTTCGAATCTGTCAGTCCTACAGTACTTAAAAATAGACAAAATCCCCAAACGTTTGAAGAATGTTCCTAGTAACAGTGTTAAAACAACACTCGCTCCCTTGTAGTTGGATCCATGCTGTCTGTAAGCTGTATTCCATCACAGGAGCTGAATTTGCAGATATTCTGAAATAAAGTTGATGCTCAGACTTCATCTGAAAGTAATTTGTAACTGGGATGATTCAAGATCACGGGTAACCTGTGCATCAGTAGCTTGTTAGTTTAACATATCGCAGCAGTGATTTAAAACAGTTTTTGTCTGCAGTAAAAATGAAGTCTGCTCTTTTTAGGTGAACTTCCTTCATCTGGTTCCAGAGGTCTGGGACAGTCCGGTGGCAGTAGCAGCTGCAGAAGATGTTGTCTATCTGCTGAAAGGAGAAGACCCTGGGAAAATCCTTCATTCTGTCTATGGTCAGCCTGTCACGTGTCTTGATGTCTCTGCTCATGAAGCAGCCTTTGGGGTCAAAGGCTTTGGCTGGATACTGAATGAGCCCAACCAGGTATTTAATGCTTTCTGTCGTGTTTTTGCGCTTGTGTCATGAAAAATTCTGCTAAGGATCATTTTCCTCTCTACTACTGAGCTTTTTTTTTTTCTTTTTTTTTTTTTTGGGTGGCAGTAGATGGAAAACACTTTTAAGTACAGTAATGTGTTGCTGATTTCTTACAGTAAGCTGAAGGGGTTACTGTTCAGCTAACTGCGTTCACTGTGTAACTGCTTTGCGCTCTCTGCTCCTCAGTACCAGCTGTATGCTGCACCAGTGGTCCTCTAGGGGGAACTAGTCTCAAAAAAAACAAAACCAAGAAGAAAACAATCCAAACCCAGAAAAAATAAAATAAACAACCTCTCCAAACAAAGAAACAAAAAATGCACTCTCCAGCCTCTGTAGTGAGGACATCCTGAGCAGTGTGCTGAGCCCTGCGTGTGCTGATGCGCAGTTTTGGGAGGAGGCTTTTTTCAGTGTGTACACTTGAGTGTTTGAGCTGAGTTACTTCTAAACCAGTGAGTGGTGGTGCTGCTGCATCAGAGGAAGCTCCATGCTGGTCGTAGGTTTGAAGCCTCTGTGACCCAGTCAGATATTTCATCAGCACATCTTGGCAGCGCAAGGTGGATGGAAACTGCGCCCATTTGGTAACTGCTACAGACTCGTGGCTGAGGCATTGTTTTAATGCAGCTGTTCTCAAACTTCTCTGCTTTCAGGATGGGCTGTTCTTGGGCTCTTGCATCCCAGAAGGTAACAGAAAGAACTGTATATCTTTCTGGCTCAGAAACATGCTCCTGGGTGCAACCCTTCGACCTTGGTTCACCTCTCCAGGGCAGGGAGCAGGCTGCAGGCAGACCTCCTTCCACTTGCTTAAGTGTTTCCGTCCCTTTCCTGCATCTTGCCTAACTTGCCCATTGCTTAAGTCTGTTACGTTTGTGGTTGTGCTGCAGCATACAACAGGCCATCAGCTGAGTGGAAGAGGAGTGCCTGGGCAGGTAGAGGTGAACATCCAGAAGGTAGGAGCTGTGGTCTGCACAAGAGCACTGTTTTCTTTGGCAAGTGACTGAAACAAAAAGGCTTTATTTAGGACTACTTTGTTAGGGATAAATCTCTCCACCTGCATCATCTGATTCTCCACAAAGTTCATGTTCCCAGGGGAAATGCAGAGCCCACCATAAACACCTGTAGGGATGGGAGGTGCTGCGAGGCTGTGCCATCTTTCTTAATTCCTTTGCTGTCCTAATCCAACTATTTTCCCCACAGAGGTGGGAGGTTAGAAGGTAAAACTGCCTCATTTACATTACAATGGCGGTCATCTTTGTGCCTCATAAGGAGCAGAGAAATCTCCATAGCTACAGCCGGACACATCTCCTTTAGGCCTGCAGTGGCAGCTTGCATTCAGCAGCACATCAGCCCACATCCTAATCAGGAGATGGGGCTGCTGCTGCCCAGACGGCCGGGCCGTGCTTGACAAGGACACGTGCTTGGCATTGCTGCAGCAGCTGACATCACACCGGAAATTAATTACTAATGTCTCTGATGATAATTGCTCACCTCTCGCAGACGTGAAGGGACTTTGCATTGGTTGATTACGCCGGTCATGAGTTGACAATCTGTCTTGAGGAGAGCTTTTGATCTCCAAAACCTGCTCGTGGAGAATTCCAACCCCATTTGCTGCTGGCTGTGTTGCTGTGCTAGAAAAGCTGTTGCCTCTCTGTTTGGGTTCTCTTTGTTTTTCCTGAGGGTTTTTTTTCTTGTTGAGTGTCGGCGTATGAGCCTAACATTACTGAGTGGTAACCTGCTTTCTGAAGGCAGTGCAGGCAGGGAAATCGTTTCTGTCCCTCTTTTTTTTTTAATCATTGTCTAATTTTAACCAAATCTGACAGCAGAGCAGAGATCTGAGGCATACATTTTGTAGGCACTTTTATGTTGGAAAGGAGAAAAACATGAAATCCACAGCATAGGCTTACCTCTTGTTAGATGATAGACATCCGTGCAGGAGAAGGGAGGAACAGCAATGCTTCGTCTGTGGGAGAAAGTTCACCTCCCACCTCAGTAAGCATCTGTCAGCCTGAGGATGGTGCATGTTGAAAGTTATGAGTGCTCCTCAAACCCTTTGTTTTTTTTGTTTTTTTTTTTTTTTAAACCATTGAGCTAACAGGAACTTCTTTATTTAGGGATGTTTCAGCTATATTAAAGTGCAGTGTATTGTTTTCCTTAAGTACCAAATTCAAACACAGAGGCCTCTGTTCCCCCCTTGGCTTATGGGTGGGTAACAGTACAGAGCAGGCAATGTACTGCAGGCTGGTGCTGCACAGACTGCACGTTACCCCATGTTGAGCTGCTGGGAGAGCTCTGCTGCTCACCTGTTTGCACACTGTGTGTGAAACTATTTCCTAACTCCACAGGCATCCATAGTTTTAATCTAGAGGTAGTTCTGCTGCTGTTCATGCCAGGATATCTGAATTGGGCAGTAAGGATTAACTCTGTGATTAGATTTCTGGTGTGTGTATCTCACTGATGGAGTGAAGCTTTTCTTATACTTTGTATACTGATAAGCTTCCCTGCATGGAACTTCCATCACGTAAGTCTGGACTCCATGAGAAGCCCACTTGTCCTACTTGTGAGTTAGTTCAGTGTGATGCACAGGTGCTTTAATCTCCTGGTGGAGTTATTCTCCCGCATTTAAAGCTTAGCTGAAATCATTTCATGTTTTCAGCAATTCTTGTTAATTGCCTTCTGTCATCGTGGCAGGATTTTATTTTTGCACAACCTTCACCATTATTTCAGACGGGATGGATGAGGGTGGGAGGAGGGCAGCGTGGCTTCGGGGCCCCCATGTCACAGGCTGCAGGGAGGTGTGCTGGGAGCAGCGCTCTGGAGCTGTTTGTTCTGCTGTCATGTTTTCATCTGCTCTGGGCTGATGATTGGCTTGTGCTGATGGATGCTGCTCAATATCACCTGTCTCTTCTCATCAGCCATGGAAACGCTGCCTCTTTGTGCACCTGTATGTAACATTTCTGCAGAGTTCTTCAGGTGCCTGCTAACGTCAGTTTGTCTGAACTGGTTTATGTGAATAAAAAAAAATAAAAACCAGAAGTTGTAAAATAATCCTGTCAGTTGAATCTCGTAGTTTAGTTTCCCTTGGATGATGTTTTTAGGTCACTGATATTCCATGTAAACCTTTACATCTTTACCCTCTTGTAGGTGAATTCCTTTTCTTTGGGCACCAGTGATCTTGTGTGGGCTCTTCTGGTGTCACAGTGGCTCCAGTTCTGGAGATTTCCGTTTTCTGTGAGTGCTTTTCAGCTTTCTTAGCCAGCGCAAATCCTGTAAGCACTTTCAATGCGCTCATCTTTCCAAACTCTTGTTGTCCTCAGTTGCTGTGGACTGAAGGGGACAGGAGGGATGTGCCCACCAGTCAGGCTCTGTGAGGAGCACAGCCTGCTGAGAGAGCAGGAGTTTTCTTTGCCTAAATTTTGCAGGATATATCGCTTAATCTCTGTCTCACCAAAAAGCAACAATAATCCATCTTGGTTTCTCTCTGCTTGCAAATGACCAAGAATCATTTTGCAGCTTGACAAATAAAGCTCTCTTCTCCTGGCTGATGTTAATGACATTCAGGTTGGGGTTTTTTTCCTATTCACACATCAGTGTGAATACCTCAAAATTGGCACGGCTTCTTTGGTGGCGATTGTCTCTGCTTTTGCAAACAGAGCTGCTGGGATGTGCCATGTTTATTCCAGGTGCTGATCTATGAAACCAAAGCCATTCATTCCATTTTTAAGAACTACTTTGCCTTCCCCTCACCTGCCCTCTCCTTGGCTTAGGGAAGGAGCGCTTCCAGGCTGCTGCTTGTGTCGTGGTGGGTGGTGACTTGACTTGCATCTCTGGATACCTGAACTCTTACATCAGACTTCAGCCATGAGTTAAATGAGCCCGGTGCTCTCACCGCAGGTCCTCGCAGACATCTGTCAGCACCACAAACCCATCGGGTCTGGCAAAGCACTGGAGCTGGCAGTCTGTGCCCGGGATGTGTCCAGTGCTGGAGCAGCAGCAGGGGTTGCAGGTGCATTGGCAGAGCTGCTTTCCTGGGGTTTGTGCACTGCCTGGGCAATGCTTGGCTCTGCCTCTTGCCGCCAGCATGCAGCCTTACTTGTGACTCCAGTCAAAGGAAAACTTAGAAGGAAGAGCTGTCCTGTGCTTGTCTTCAGCTTTGTGTGTAACTTGGGTGGCAGCTGTGGCTGTTTGGAGGAGCAGGCAGCGTGTTTGGCTGGCAGCTGGGCTGGGTTTGCTGCAGACTGTTTTTGTAATTCTCTGTGCAGGTCTTGAAGCATTGCTGAAGGCTGCTCGGTGCAGCTAAGTGCACGTGAAGTAAGAGTTCCTGCTTGCCAGCAGAAAGTCACCTTTAGGATGGCATGAAAGTCAATTTTCCACATGCTCGGAGAAATGTTGTTACCAGCTTCACACAATGACTTATATCTGGCAAGAACTTGCAAAATAGTCTCTCTGGCTGATTGTCAAAAATTACATCATATTGGAGTAAACTGCTTTTAAATCAAGCATCCATTATTCATGTATATTAACTGCTTTTTTAATTTTTTTTTTTCTTGCTGGCTGTTTTGTGTATGATTTACTCTTTTTCTTTCTCTCTGATTGTCTGTCTGTCTCCCTCATCTGCTCCTTTTAAATCTTAGCTCATCTTTGAATTTATGGAGCCAGCACACTTATCTCTGTGTGCGAGTACCAACATGCTGACCTTGCATTTGTTAGCAGGCAGATTTTGTTGTTGCTGTTGCAGTGTTACGTGCCATATTTACAGTAGGCAATGCAACACATTTGCAGTAGGAAACTGCGCCTCTGAGGCTTGTGAACCTTGAAAATATTTTTTCTGCATCCCTTTAGAAATAGAATTCCAACTTGCAGCCGTGTGCTGTACTTAATTTGATGGCTTTTTTCACAAATGCATATGGAATAGCCCTGTCACTTCTGTGCTTATTCTCTGGATGGAACGGTTTTAACCTGAGCAAAAGCCAGATCCCTTCTTATCCACTGTGGACTTGAAATGTCACATCCCCATCTCTTGTTGGTCATATTTGTGTGTATTCAGGCAGTGTTCCCTTGGGTTGGCACAGGGATGGGCAGGAGGAAAGGAAGCAAAACAAAATCCTAAAACAAATGTAGGCAGTTTTGGGGTTCTTGTTTTGATCCTCTGCTCACTGCTCTCTGTAGTCAGTGGTTAGAAACCTCCATCCAGGCAGTTACTGAGACAGCAGTCCTTGAAGGCATCCTGTGTCACTCAGTAAGGGCAAAGATGTAGGCTTTGGAAGCACAGCTTTACAACGTGCTTTTTCCTATCTAATACCTCATCAAAATAAGAATTAAGTATACTATATAGAAAGAGTTCTTCCCCCCATTCCAAGAGGCAGTGCCTTTACCAGCCCAGAGCTGCAGTGGCTCAGGACAAGAAGCAGAAGCACGGTTGCAGGGGAAGCACACAGTTGCACAAAGCAGCTCTCTGCTGGCCTGCAGCCAGGACAGTGGGCTGAACACCCCTGCTCTTGCTGAAAATACCACAGGCTCTTTGATAACAAGTGCTCGGGGATTTGTTGTTTTAATGTTCCATCCAAAAAAGACATCTCCAACAACACAGGATCCCGAAACACCTGCTGGGGTGTTGGACATGCATGGAAGAGTTCCATCAGCAGCATTTCCTTCAGTTCCTTGGTTTTTCTTGGAAGTATCTCAACCAGAGTGCACAGAGTATGCTTGACCTCACTTAGCTGCAAGATGTAACGAAGCTCACAGCTTAGCTATCCTGGCTGCAGGGACTTGCTGAATTAATGTAGCCTTCTTTCTTCAGTTCTTGGACAGCATTTAAAGGGAGCTTCCTGTACCCACCGATGTGCAGCTCCTGGAGTGCAGCAAGCTTTCCTTTCTTCCTCTGCCCACCAGTTTGCCAGTTGCTCAGTCCATCCATCCGAGGACGGTGGCCACAGGTTGAGAGTTGCCCAACTCGGGCAGTAAGGAGGGAAATTAGTCTAATGCACTGCCTTAACAAAAGAGAGTATGAGCATGAATAATTAATACCACCAGTCTGTGGCAATCGGATAAAATGAAGTCCCATTTGCTCAGCCTTATTAAAAGAGAGAGAGAGAGAGGGAGAGATGGTAAAGGTCGTTAAGGGACTTGTAACATGGAAAGAATCGCCTCTGAGATGGATAATGTGTTTTCTAATCTCTGTGGTCTTTAACTAAACATAATGGTAAAGGTACTCTAGCTATTTCTGGCTTGTTGAATTATTAAGCATTCTGGGAGATTGCTTGGCTCTCATCCAATAACTCAGACTTTTTCATTTGAACAATGTTAATAGGTAACGCTTTTTATTTTGTGCATTAGATCCTGATACATCTGCACGGAGTATTTAATGCTTGTCCTCCCCTGTGCCCCTGAAGTCCCATGGGGGCTGGGATGCTCGTTAGTGTGCTATCCCAGGGTACTTCATTTCACACCCAAGTGCTCTTGGTTTGCTTACCTTCAGGTCTGTGACTGTTAGGTCACTGGTCTTGGGTGGCCATTATAGGATTATAAATGTCTTTGAAAGGGTAATCCCTTTGCAGTGTGCATTATAGGATTATAAACCTCCTAAAGATCTTATGCTTTATCTGCCCTTTAACATACAGGCCCTTATTTCAAGTCCCTATTGACCAGGTATTTCACTGTTCTCCTTGGCCTTTTTAAAGAAAATCCTCGTTGCTGAGACACTAGAGAAGAGCTCATCAGAGGTGTTTTAGCATCTTCAAAATTGTTATCAGTATGCTTTTAAAGCTCTGTATCCAAGAAGTTATTCAGACCTCAAAACGCATTCTGTGCTCCTTTTGTTTCTTTACCTACCAGGTTTTGAAGTTCATTTGCAGACCAGGACAGAAGTTCAACTGGGAGCTGGGTGGAAATCACAGGAAGCACCTTCCTACCAGGTGGTTGGGCTCGTTGGCTAGAAATGCTCATCTGCATTGTAAACATTTGTAAAAAGCAATCTTTCAAAGACTGGAGACTGACATGAATTGAGGAAGCTCAAAACAAAAGCTTTTATAGCAGCTTTGTGGATCTGAAATGTTATTTCTACAGATTCTAATAGATGGAAACATTTTGGAAGTGATGGGCAGCAGCATGTTAGGTGAGGAGAAACCAGTCATTTTTCATTTGGGGCTGCATGTAGGAGAGTAGCACAGGTCTAAAACTGGACCACAAGCAGGAAAGGATGGAACATTTGCTCAGATTTTAAGCACCAAAACTTCGAATGCTACGTGCAAGCAATTCATCTTTATGGTCTTCCATGGTCATCGCTGTTCAAGTGTGTATCAGATGTTAATAGGAGAGACAGAAGTGCTGGTCGTTTAGGTAAATTAATAGGCTTTGGATGTTCATGGTAAGTGGTATTCCCAGGGGACTTTGGAGAAAGCAGCATTTGCCCCTCTCCTCTCTAGAGCTGTAAGCAGAGCTGGCAGGGCAGCTTGCAGGGCACACACTGGGAGCTGCAGTGTTGCTGTTGAGCCCATCGTCTGTCATTTGCACGCTGAGTTCAGCAGTGTGTTGACTTTGTATTTTTCCAACAAAACCTCCCAAAGAGAAATCTGGTTGCAAGGCAGAGATGCTCATTTTCTTTGCACTGAGAATTCTGCAAAGTGCCTTTGCCAGAATGTGGTTCACCCTGTCTTTGGTTAGGGAGGTGCTGGGAGCTGTTGTGTGCGTGTTGTTTTTTATCTTGATGACAAACACTTCCAGTTTGTAGCAGCTACTTTATTGGAATGGAAGTTTACATTATTTTAACAGCTTTCAAGTCTCCCTGCAAAGGCAGAATCTCTTACTGTACAGAGATACGGTGAAATTGCTTTGGTTTGTGTTTCTTGTTTTGGTCTCAGGGATGAAAAAACACGTGCTAGAAATGGTATTTGTGGCAAGCAATTTGTACATCACTATACTGTAGGAAAAGGGAACTGGTTAGGAGATGATAAATGTAAGTAACTGAGTGTACTGGATATGAGTGTCTTCATTCTAGTGGAGAACTTGATAATTTATGTGGATAAAACTCTGCATTTCTTTTAACTGGAAGAAATGGGGGCAGGAGAAAGCCTGCAACATCTTCGCTTTATTCCTAGAGGTTTGGAGACATCCATCACAGAATGATCTCCTGCTCTCTTAATTCAACCTTTCAGATGCATCTTAAAATTGCACGGTGAGGGTGTGAAAGGGCAGACAGCATCACGTCACTGCTCTGCTGAGCGTGGAGGCAGTGTGCTCTGACAGTGTAATATTTCTTGAACCGTGTGAGGATGTAATCAGAAAAGCACAAGGTGAGAACGTTCACGTGGCATTGACATAGCCACGCTGGTATTGCCATGGAAACCATAAGGGTTTGGTTGTTTTTCGGATATTTTAAGTACTGTTTCTCTTTTCACGGTCATAGATGATTATTTTTATTGAATGAGTCAATTAAAGGGACGTCACCATGAAATGCAGTAATTTTTTGAGGTCAGTGTTAAGCTGAGAATTTCACTGAGCTTCACCGGACTTTGCCCAGTATGTTTTGCTGGATCTAAAAATGCTTCCTCCCTTTTTGTGGAAAGGCCCAAACAGATCAACCTCATCTGGCCCCACAGGGGAGACAGCGAACATAATTAAACTGATTGCTGTGCAGCACAGAGGAGGGTGAGCAGAAGGGAAACGGCTCGTACCTCCCTTCAGTCCTCGGCGGCGTCATCCTGGATGCAGCCTAAAATCAGAGCTGTTGTTGTTCCTTTCCCATCTGAGCTGCCATTTCAGATGCACAATTTCTCTTCATCTGCGCAAAGCCGGTCGCAGGGCCTGTCAGCACTGAGTCAGTGCACTTCTGCTCTTCAGTTTTTGCTCTGTTTGATGGAATCTTTCTGCACAGTCCATCTGTCTAAACCTTACAAGTGCTGACTCTGTTTCCTTTTGCTATTCTTTCAAATATGCAAGTTGAAAAGCAAGTCAGGTGATTTCTTTACCCGTGTGAACCTGTAAAAACTGACCTGGAGAAAACGAGTATGGCTTTATGGACTGCCTGGACCTCTGCCTGTCTTACAAGGCTTGCAGAGAGCCTTCACGCCAGCTGTGCGGTGGGTTCCATTGTGAGACTTTGATTTTCTTTTTTTCTTTTCTGCATGTGTGTTTCTGTCCTTCTTGACAGGGAGTGCCTGTATGTTGGCTGCAATAGAACAGTGAGAAACGAGCCCTGCAAAGCAGCTCTGATGGCGGTGACTGCGCTCTGCTTCCCACTGCACCAAAAGGTAGCTGTGCTCACGCTGCATTTAGCCAGTGTTTGTTCTGTTTCTGCCAGGTTCTTCTTTACAACCTGGAAACGAGTCAGTGTCTAAGGAAGCTAGGCAACTCCATGGGTGACTTTACATGCGTCAACCTCCAGGACAGTCCTCCAAACATGCTCGTTACAGGCAATAAAGACAGAAGGTAGGTACCACCAAGAGCTGTAACCCTTTTCCAATTAGCTTACTTCCTGTCCTGCTGTCCTACATCTGGACCTGCTAGGATTTGTCTCTCCTCTAATGTTTCAAACGCAGCCAGCGTGAACTTCAGGAACAAAATATTAGGTAATAGTTGGACGTGGCTGCCAGTTTGCTTTGTTTCGGAAAGCTCCATGGGAAGACTTTCTTTTTGAGCCATTTGGTGGACGCAGTTGGTGCACAGCCCAGCGAGACCACTTGGAATATCTTCCACTTCCCCGCCACCACCCGCAAAATTAGCTTGGCATTTAAAAGCTCACTTTCTGATATTAAAAAAATAACCTAAGGGATGAATCACGTAGGATGAGATGGGTCCGTCTGCCAAGCGATGTCAGGAGTGTATTTCGGAACACTGCGATGTCCCTTAGGTGACAAAAAAAAAGAAAAAAAAAGGAGAGACTTTCATGTGAACAGATTCCAACTTCTATTTAGCTGATTAGCAGCTTTCTCTTTAACTCCTTGGCTTGGGGAGCAGGATTTTCCCTGCACAGTATCTGGTGCCAGGAATGGACGCGCTGGGAACAGTCAGCGCGAAAGGATTAAAGTGCTTAAAAAGACCCTTTGAGTCCAATTTTTAGGTTTTCTTTTTTGGCTGGTTGCGTGCGGGGTCTGATCCAGTGCACCAAAGGAGATGTGGGGTGGCGAGGAGCCAGTCTCTAATGGCTCCTGGTTCCTTCCCTCCTCCTTTCCGCGCTGGGCACCAGGCTGCAGGTGGTGCTCTGGTGTGGATGTGGGTATCAGCTTGTAAGGCGGGTGCTTCCCTCTGCCAAATCCCAGCCTTCCATCCCGCCAGCACAGCAGCTTGCAAAAATGATTATTTTGTCAAACAGCATTTTTTTTCTTTCCCCCCTCTCTCAGTGAATAGGCAGCGGAAGCAAACCTCACACTTCTTCAGCACGGGGATAAAGGAAATATCTGAAGTTTGACATGTGTAATTGAATCCTTGGGAGTTTGCTTTTTTTCCTCTAAAAGCATATAATTGATTTTCCAAAGCACCCTGGTAAAACTACCTGCAATTTTAATCTTTCCCACAGTGGTGAGAGAGCAGATAAAGTTAATAGCCCCTAAGTGAGATTAAAATGTCCTCCCTTTATACCAGAGTAAATGTCTTGGCCTTTCCCCTGAAGAAAGCTTTTCAGCTGTATTTAGCTCAAGCACCAGCTGAGTTCAGGGGTTGGCCATCACTAAACCAACAAGACGTGAGGAATCAATAGCTCAGCAAATAAGTTTGGCATCCAGGAGACAGAACCACGTGTATCTCAGGTCAGCTCTTCACAGGGAGCTGCCTGAAAGGTGCTCATATGTGTTGGGCAGCCACAGGTGGGCTGGGGCCGGGACTTCGCTAACCCTGCTATGGAATGAGCCCCTCAGCAGGGCCTTGCCACACCACCTCTGGGAGAATGTCTTGGTGGAATTAAATGCAGCACTTGGAAAATGTTTCCCCTGAAACACTGCTGGATGATGTGATAACATGGCTGTGCTTCACACCAGTGCAAGATCTGATAGCAGGGTGTTTGCTAATGCACTGCAGCCTCGTGGGTATCTAAGACAGTGATTAGCATGGGGAAAGCCAGCGTGGCAAGCCCAGTGTGTGCTACTGCTGAAAGGTGTGCAACCAAACTTGTGTTCTGTCTTCTCCCAAAGGCAACCACTGCTCAAGCAATGGAACAGGAGAGTCACAGCCTTTCACAAGAGCACCTTCCTTACAGCTCCCTTCAACTGGGATGAGCCCGATGTGCTCCCACTGAGCCCAGCTGTTGAAGCAGGAGATGGAGGGCAGTGCCAGGTCTGCATTAGAGCACATTAGAGCATCACATTAGATTTGCAAAATGCTCTTTTCTTTTTTGTAAGCGCATCTAAGCGACTCATGTGACTCTAATTCTTCCAAGGATGTGCCAGAATGGACACCTGCCTGAAACCTGGACCCTTGCTAATGAAATAACCAGGACACATCTTGGTTTCCAACTGTGCTTACCAAATAGAAGAAGCTTTGATTGTCATACAGAACACGTGCAGCAAGTCAGGGAGAGTGCCGAGTGTGAGCACTTCCAAAATACCCCATCCTTACCCAAAGCACAGCTCTTATGTCTAGCCAAAGGTTCTCTCTGCTGGAGCTGGAGAAAGCAAGAAGTCCTTTCCACTATCAGCAACTGTTTGGGGGGGGGGGTTTCCTGGGGGTGAGCCCAGAGCCACACAAAGCGTGCTCCTCGCTCTGTTCCAGTGTGTTTCTCTGCATGTCAGATGGATGTTGCTCAGTTGGAGTTTTGGATCGTTCTGCAGCCTTTTATTTCAGTTGCTGAAATGTGTTATTTGTAAAATCCTATGATGCAATCTCCGTGTGAGAAAGGAAAGGGAAAGACTTGCCACACCATTAAGATCGTGGCAAGAGTGTGGAACAGAATACAGCTAATGTGTTGGAACAAGTGTGATTTGGCCTTTTTTTGAATTAATGCATACCTGATGGCTTCATTCTTGATAGCCTTCAGCTGGGAGAAACTTTCTCTGGCTGCTTTTCAGCTGAGATCAGTATTTCCCCTTACTTCTGTTTTCACTCACTGCATTTTATCTCTTTTGCTGTATCTTAATCTTGACACGTAAGGATGAGGAAACATCCTCCTTTGTGGTACATACTAGATGTAAAAAATGACACCTTTGGTTTTAACTGTTTTTATAGACCTGTTGCACAACTTGAGGCCCTCTCCTCTTTTTCTAAAGTTCTTCTTTAATCATAGCCTCTCTTCAAACTGTTCATTGAGTTCTTTTTGAGTCAGGTGTACCTGAAAGCTGCCCAAAGTCACAATATAGAGAGATGGTTTATATATGCATATATGTATGTGAACTTTTGAGAAGAGGTAGTGGTTGCTGGTGCTTGAGGATCGCTTTGTTTCAGTACTGGTACTCAGTCATAACTCTAGCATAGAAACCTGTGATCCCCTTGATTTTTCTCTTGGCTTCCTACACATGTAGTCCTCTGTCTCCATAGAAATAGTTTATCTTTCCTGAGCCCTTAGTGGACGTGGGTTGGGTGCAGGGGATGTTAGTGGTGTGCCGAGCGCATGGCCTTTCTTCACCGCATCATTTCTCACAGGTTGGGCGGCACAGACACAGATGACCTCCAAATTTCATTTCTATCACCTGAGACCTGCCGAGAGACAGTGAGATCCTGCACGGCGTGAGAAGTCTGCCTCAGAACCACCCATGTCACTGCCCTACATGTACTGCTGCAGCCTAACACGTGCTCTCAGTGCGGCTGCTTTCATCCCAGTTCTTTGCTCTCCCTTAGGGTCAGGGTGTACGACCTGCGCGGGAGCGAAGCGCTGTGCTCCCTGTTTGCCCACCGCCTGGGGGTGTCAGCAGTGCAGATGGACGACTGGAAGATCGTCAGTGGGGGAGAAGATGGGCTGGTGTGTGTGTGGGACCAGCGGATGGGCGCCAAGCTCTGGGAGATGCACGCCAGGTAACTGTGTGTGAGCTTCTGTGCACCGCTAGCTCGCGAGGGCTTTTCACTTCTCGCGGTGCTTTTGCTCAGGGTAAGGGAGAATGGATGCTTTTTCCACCCCTGGATTTCCTTTGGACTTCAGTTAGCATCCTCTCCCCGCCCCATCCATCAGTTCTGACCTTACCAAACTTTGGCCTTCAAGCGCTGTACTGCTGCCTGTTGTCCCCGCTGTGACTGGTTCTCTTTACTTGCCACACTTCCTGCAGTACCTGTGCTTCTGTTCTGCTCCTCCACGTTTCCCTTAGCAGCAACAAGCAAAGCCAGATTGGTATTTAAACACACAGACACTGATAGGAAAGTAACAGTTTGTACTGAAAGCACAGAACAGGCAGTGCTGAAGGAGCTGAAAGTACAAGCTGAGATAAGGATCCTGGAGCTGACAGAAGGCTATTAGTGGCTTCTGTTAGCCAAATTACCATTTTCTGATTGAGGCAAAACTCCCGGGGAGTTTGCTTTGTCTGAATAAAGACCTGAAGGATTTAGCCACAAGTAAGCCCAAATCATAGAGTCATGGAATCACAGAATGGCCTGGGTTGCAAAGGACCACAATGATCATGTAGTTCCAACCCCTGCTGTGTGCAGGTCACCAACCAGCAGCCCAGGCTGCCCAGAGCCACATCCAGCCTGGCCCTGAATGCCTGCAGCGCTGGGGCATCCATGACCTCCTTGGGCAACCTGTTCCAGCTGATACACTGTTCTCAGTCAAATGAACAGATACATGCTGATGTTATTTTATTAATGCTTCTCCCCCACAGAGGTGATATGAGAGATTTACAGTCAGAAGTTCAAGTGGGAGCTGTCATTAATTAATAGCAGCTATCTCCTCTTTTGACCCTGTGAGTTATAAAGCCCAATGTGATGCAGTCGGTGCATTAAGGACAATACTGCATTGATTATCCTCTGGGGCAGCACTAATGAGCATGCCAAGAAGGAGGGCAGGCAGTGCAGATCTGCTGAGCTCTGAGGTGGAGGGGAGATGTACTCAAAGTGAAACCATGAGCTTAAATACTGTTCAATCTATGTAGGACTTGGAAAGGAATGCTTCAGTCAAAAGGCCTTCATAGAGGAGAGATGCTGAAGTTGTTATCCGTGTCTGTAACCTGTGCTGTGAATGGAAGGCAAGGGCAGAGGTAGGGGAGAGGGCAGAAGGAAGGTTAGGGTGGTGGAGATGAGCAGTCTTTACCTGCTGTTAGCCCTGCTTGGTTCAGGGTCAGCTGAACCAAGGAAGGAAAGCCCAGCCCTCTTCACATGTGCTGCGTAGAGCATTTCTGCATCAGCCCTCACTCCCTGCTTTGGAGAGGGAGCGCTGTGATCCCTTGGGGAGCAACCAGCTCCTCCCTGCGCCTTGCTGCTGCTGGCCTTGGCCCCGCTGCCAGGTTCGGGTGGCGCCACAGCACCACCGCGTGCATTGCGGCAGCCGTCCGCTAGGTGGTGCTAAAGGCTGCGTTCATCCGGCGCCGCCAGGCGGGGAGGAGCCAAAGGTGCAGCCTCCGAACCCCTGGCTGGAGGGGGGCCCTGAGCTCGATGAGTTCTCATTTAATACTGCGCTTGGGGGTTGTTTTCCAGGCATCCAGTGCGCTATGTGTGGTTTAACTCTCACAGCCTCATCACTGCCAACATCCCTGATGAGAAAACGCCCCGCGGTGCCAGCATCATGGACGACGACCTCACTGCACACCGCAGGTGAGCGCAGCTCTGAGGGCTGGGATCTGCAGCACAGCGTGACACTGCCTTTAAAAACGGCTCCATATGCACTTGAGTCATCATCCAGAGCACAAACAGAGACAAAGCGTGTTTGGAAAAAAAACGCAGAGAAGCCTTTCAAAAGTGTTGATGAATTTTGGCTCTCTGCGTACTTCCGAGCACAGGAAAAAAAGCATTTCGTGATTAAGGTGTGAATATAAAGGCCTCTGAAGCAAGACAGAGAATGCAGTCTTTCCCTTACTTCAAATATTAGCGATGATGTCTCCTCCTCAAGAAAAACTGCTGGTACTTAAGCTGCAGATTTGGGTATTTATGGGCATTAGTGTGTCTGATGGAACTGACAAACTGCGGTGTGCTTACCTTCTCCCACTCCAATGGGTGAGCAGTGTTCCAGCAGACAGCAGCTACGTCTCTGAACCTGTCTGTAAGGCAATGCAGTGTGTTGGCAGGGGTTGGGGGGTCCCTGGAGGGAGGCAGGAGGGGAGCAGAAGAGAATCTTCTCCTCTTGCGTCTGCACAAACAGCCCCAGTGCAGAAAAGACGAGCTTTGATGTTCGTCTTCTGAAGCACTGAATGTTGGACTTTTCAGGTAATCTCTGACAGTTATCCCTGCTGAAATACACAGTGAAGTTACAATGCTGTGCTGTCTCGGATGTATTTCATACAGGCATCGTGGGATCATCTATGCCTACGAGTTCTCTGTGGACCAGCTGGCTGTGGAGAGCGTCCTCCCCATCTGCCGCTCTTCCTACGACGAGGTGATGGGTTACAACTACAACATCAGCCTTGCAGTGCCCTACGACCACATCTAGCTAACTCACCTGGCTCAGCACTCTGCCACATGAGAGGCTGAAGGCAGAAGGGCGACTCGGAGGGGCTGAGCACCAGCAGGACTTGTTGGCTGCAGGTGGGGAGCGCTGAGCTTTAGCTGAAAACATGGGGCTGTGAACCACAGCAGAGCAGGGCTGCCCTCAAGCTGATTGCTAGAGCGTGTTGTGCAAGGGTCCAGAGATCCTCTGCAGAGGAGCAGGGAGACTGGAGGATGAGGGGGAGCTGTGCACTTCGATGTGAACAGAAGTGTTCTGTCCTGCTGCTTGTGGGAGGAATGCTGCAGATCCCATCCTGGCAGAGGGCATGGGCTGCTCGGGAGGCAGGAATCCTGATGGCAAACTGCTGAGATGGGAGAGAGCAGCAAGGAGGGCACGGCCTGCAGGTGCCTCTCCTGGGGGAGGAAAAATGGGATTTGGAGAAAGCACCTTGCTGAGCCCATGTGTCTGGCACTGCTTTCCTAATAGTGAGCTGCTCGCTGCTCTTTGAGTGCATTGGGATGTGTCCAGAAACAGGCAGGGGCACTGAAGATGATGGGGCTGATGAGGTGAATGTTGGCCGTGTCCGGCCTGGATGACTGGAAACCCACAGCAAGTCACACACATAGCAATGGTTTTAAAGCAAATTATTTTTTTAATTCTCTACAATTCTAAATTAAATATTTTCTGATTCTTTTATGTGTATGTGCGTGGTTTGTGGCTTTTGTTCCCGAGTCTGTTGGGGTGAACTGAAACCACGGCCCATCACATCTCAGGTTAGCATGAGGCAGTCCCCATGCTGAGCACTCTAACAGCACCAGAGGCTGTCCCCAGCTGGCAGGGACTTGGGCTGCTGACTGTCCTTGCTGCAGAGCTACATGTTGCTTTAGTGAGCAGAGGGACCAACTGGCTGCAGTGTGTTGGTGACTGCACTGACGTTGCAGAGAAGCGTCCATGAAGCAGAGAAGAATTTGGATGAAAGCTGTCCAGCAAGTGACAGCTGTTAGGGCACAGTAAGTTCTGGGGTTGCTCGAGCCCTGTGGCTGAGCACAGAGCTGCTGTCTTTTGTTGTTCTGCTCACCTCAGGATTGTCACCCTCTGCCTCGTCTCACTCAGTGTCCTTGGCTCGTTAGCAGGCTGACCTTCCTTATCTCGGCCTCATTATCTCGGGGCAGCTTTGTTCTTTCTCCATCTGCCTCTGCCAGCAGCAGCAGATAAGTTGCCTCATGCCAGTGCATGTCAGGACCTTTTCCGGGCAGCCACTTCCCCTCTCTTTCTGCACTGTGGTGACAAGGACATGTCCGTCCCTCTGCGCTGTGCCCTGACAGCTGCAGCAGTCGCTGTGCTGCTGGAAGATGGGCTTGGAGCAGTGGGGCTGGTGGTCATGGACTTGCTGGGGACCGAGCCATGCGGTCTTGGGAGGATGTGGGGTCCCCTCCAGTGGAGGAGGATTCCCCTTCCCCTCGGCTGCAGCTCCTGGCGGTGGGTTGGGGTGGGCTGGTCCTTGCAGGCTGCCGCTCCGTCACTGCGGTTGGTTCGGTGTGAACAGCAGCACCGTGTGTTCAGCCAGCATCCCTGATGCAAACGAGGGCACCCAGCCAGAGAGCGCTGTGATGGAGCTGCATTTTTGTTTCTGCAAAGGGCTGCTGTCCCACTTTGGTGGGGTCTCACCGGTGCAGCACATGCAGCCGTGACTGCGTGCATCCTCTGTAGGGCTGGCTGGCTGCAGTGCAGCCTGCTGCCAGTAGCTCTGAGCGGGAAGTGCTGATGCTCCAAGAAAACGTCCTGGAGAGGCAACGGCGGCTGCAGGTTGGGCTTTTTTTTTTCCCCTCAGCCTTGCAGCAATGCAGTGCTGTGCTGCAGTTCTCAGGCAGAGAAGGACAGCACACAGCTCCTGCCGGGGCACCGTGCGGTGCTGCAGCATCTCTGTGCTGTCCCCATAGGGAAGGAGCCCGCGCCTGAGCCCTGGGGCTGGGGAGCTCACCGGGCCCCACTGCTGCTGTGCCCCACTGCTGGGTGGGGGGCAGCGCCGTGGCATAAGGGGAATGGGTTTGTAAGACAGAAACAAACACTTTTTTTTCCAGCTTTTCTAAAAATAACCACTGCCCTTTTCTCCAGCTCCCTCCCTCCTGGCTCGGGCTGCCTTAGAGACAGAGATCTGCCTCGAGCCTCTGGTTATTAGTGCTGTAAATGCAGTGTTGTCTCCGTTTCCAGTGGGAACGTGTGGGGGTGGCAGCCACAAGCAGCCAGGAACCTGCATTCCTGGGTCCCCAGATCCCACATCCCTGTGTCCCCATGACCCTTTCCTCCTGCATCCCCCAGTCCTTGTGTCCCTGTGTCCCCCAGTCTCTGTCCCCCCTATGGCCCTGTGTCCCCATGGCCCTACATTCCTGCATCCCCCAATCCCTCCGCTCCCACGTCCCTGCATCCCTATGTCCCTGTGGTGTCCCCTTACCCCCCACTCCCCGTGTCCCTGTGCCCCCATTTGTGTCTTCCAGCCCCTCTGTGTCCCCGCTGTCCCCATCCCAGCCGTGCTGTGGCTCTGCTCACAGTGGCAGATCTGGGGTTGATGTGCAGTCAGGCAGACGGTGCCGTAACTTCACACGGAGCTCCATCAGGCACCGGGCAGCAGCTGGAGCATTTCTCAGCAAAGAATAAAAACAAATACCTTTTATTACAGGTAAAATACCTCTTACGGTTCTAGAGAGCGGAACGAGGCCTTGTGGTGCTGGGAAGCCTCCGTCCTGCTCCTGGTCAGTAGCAGTGAGCGATGGCCTCCATGGTGAGGAAGCGGACGTGCATTTTGGTCTCGATGTCGATCCCCTTCCACACCTGCAGGGAAGGGGTGAGCAGGGCCGGGTGCTGGCAGGCAGCGGGGAGCAGAGCGAGGCACCAACCTTCAGGAAATCCTCGAAGGTGATGCCTTCGTACACCTCGTCCGGGCCCTGCGCACAGCGGGAGACGAACCCTCACAGCTGCACCCACGGCCCCTTCCAGCCCCTCTGTGCCCCCCGTGTGAACTCGCACCGTGCGGGCCATGCACGCGCTGGCCGCCTCCAGCATGGCCCCCTCCGCGATGGCACGCAGCGACTCCTTCTCCAGGTGGGGATTCCCAGACATCAGCTCATCCAGAACCTGCAGGGCAGCGGGGGCTGCAGTGGGCGGTGAGGCGGCGGCGGGGAGCAGGAGGCCCCCACTGCCCCCATACGTTACGTTTTTGTACTCCTGCAGCGTGATGATCCCGTCGTAGTCGGCGTCGTACATGTGGAAGAGGACTGGGAGGGATGAGAAGGGGATGCGGGGTCAGCGTGAGGCCCCCCGGAGCCCCGCTGCCCTGCGGCACCGCCTCACATTTGAGCTTCTCCTTGCGGAAGCTCTCCAGCCGCTCCTCGTCCATGTCCATCTCGATGGGTCTGAAGTAGGACATGATGGTCAGGAAGTCCTCGAAGTTGATCTCCTCTGCCAGCCCGGCCGGCGCCTTCCGCAGGTTCCTGATGGCAGCAGAGCTGCTGGGGATGGCGGCTGCAATGCCCCAACCTGCCCTCCCTATGGGCACCGTGCAGCTCCAGGGCTGCTCAGCATGGCGCCAGTGTTTCCCCAGAGCTCAGCTCCAATTTCCCTCATTCCCAGCCTGGCTCTGGCTCAACCCTCAGGGCCAGAGCTCTGCCCAACTTTCACGCAGCCCAGGCTGCACAGGGAGCTGTGGGTGCTCCGTCCCCAGCGGTGCTCATGGCTACGGATGGGCGCTGGGCAGCCTGAGCTGGTGAGAGCAACCAGCCCAGGGCAGGGGCTGGGGGCTGTAAGGTCTCTTCCATCTCAACCACGCTGTGATTCTATTGCTCCCCCCCCTCGGGGCTGCACTTACCTCTTGTCGAAGAAGGCGTGAACGATTCGGGCCCTGATGGGGTTGAACTCGAGGTCGGGGATGGTGTCGAAGTCCTCTTTGCTGCACAGAACAAGGCAGAGAGGGCGGGAGGGGAGGGAACGCTGCAGGCAGAAATCCCGGCCCATCCTTCCGACGCCACCACAAGAAAAGGGTTTTACCCCAGTGTGAGCTTTTGCCCCGGTTCAGAGTGGCAGCGAGCAGCGCCGTGTATCAGTGGGTGATGCTGGTGCCCAGGGTTTGGGTCCCCAGCGCACGGAGCTCTGTGCGATGCTCCAGGACGTGGGCCCAGGGATCGCTGCTGCCTTCCTCCTCCCTCCCCCTCCCCTGTAACCCGACCCCACCAGCGGACAGCCCGTACCGGATGGTCTTCCTGTTGTGGCTCAGCTGCTTGAAGCGCCGATGGAGCTGCTCGATCTGCTCCGAGGTGACTGCGGGGGGAGAGCGAGAGGTGAGGGGACACGCGGGGACACATCGGGGGCGCCCCGTCGCAGCCGCACGTGGGTAACAGAACGAGCGCAGCAACGGTCCGCGCTCGCTGCTGCTCCGTCTCCCTCTCTCTTTTATGATGTTTAATTAACGGCTCCATTAGTTACTGCCGTTTCCCAGCCCTGAACCCTGCGCCGCATCGATCCGAGCGCTCACAGTGCCCCACACAGGCGCTGTGCTGCCTCTCAGCTCCCCGTGGGCAGCACTGGGGGCTCCGGGGTCGCTCTGCGGTGACGGTGAAGCCCCCAACCACCCCCCATCCCACCCCCGGGATGTTGTCCGCCTGCTGCTGTTGCGGTGACTGCAAACCCAAATCCCTGATGATGCTCAGAGGGGATCGCAGCCACAGTGCGATTGGACCCGCGATCGCCCGTGGGCTGCTCGAGGGTCAGCCCCGCATCTCCCGCAGCACGATGCCAAAGGAGCCGTTCTCCCCTTTTTTCTCCCCAAACGCGGCACGGGGCAGCGCTCCGAGCCCCCCCCCCAGCGTCCCACATCAACCCCAGGAGTCCATCAGCGCTGAAATGAAGGGGCGTTGGGGCTGCCCTCCACCTACGGCTGTTGGACTGCGGGTGTTCCTGGGGGGGGTGGAGAGGGGAGATGGGAAGCAGCGGCTGCAGCCCGGGGGTCCCGCTGTGCACGCTCACAGAGCTGCGTCCCCTCCGGCCCCGACCTTTCTTCTCCGTGGGACTTTTTGGAGGCGGTCCTTCCTACCAGATCCGAGCAACGGGGTGCCGCCGGGACCGGGAATCAGCCAACCGCCTCCCAGCCCACGGCGATTCCCCCCCCCCCGGGAACCCCCCCCCCCCCCCGGCGCTACTCACAGCCGGTGCGCTCCGCCAGCGCCCGCATCTCGGGGGGCACGGACTGCGCCGAGCCCATCGCCCACCGCCGCTGTGCGCACAGGGAACCGCGCCGCCGGCAGCGCTGCGGGAGGGGAGCGCTCCGCCCAGCCGGCACCGGCAGCACCGCCCCGGGACGGCGCAGCGAGGAGGGGGCGGGCACCGCTCCCATGCCATCCCATCCCATCCCATCCCATCCCATCCCATCCCATCCCATCCCATCCCATCCCATCCCATCCCCTCCTTTATCGCTATAGGATTTTTTGCCCCCCTCCTCCCCCCCCCCC